AAATTCAGTCACCATGCATAGTAGTATTGGTTGGCCAGGACCATCAGTAATACTAAATGGTTATAACAAATGAGAAAAAAAATCTGAGAGTAATTGAAATGCTGCTTTTTAAAGCTTGTATGTATATAGATAGTCTTCCAATAACGTGATTCAGTGCAAACCTGTGAAATCTCAGTTGTGGATAGAGAAGATTACACACAAAAAATGTTAAAGCTAATTTTCTGTTGGTTTTAAAGTTTGTCCATCTCCCTTCTAAGAAGCCAGAAGCCTATATACACATTCTGTATACACATTTTTTTAAACATATAGGCTCTTGGATATGGAGCATAAACCATCAAAAACGTGGATATAAACACTTACAAAAGGGGCAGACTCTAGGACCATTCCATTCCCTCTTTAAGTGTTCAGTTTCTGTTGTGATGATGAATTAATGACTTAATGACTATTGACTTCTTAGTTCATTAAAGCAGGAATATACCTGGACTGTCAGTTAATACAGGCACCACTATGCCAATGTCATTCTTGAATGCCATTGTTGGGTTTGGATATAATAGTATGCTTTGGAGAGTATAGACAGGTAACTATTAGAAACAGTGAAGAATGTGCCCTGCTAGCTTAAATGTAATACTACAATTCTGAGGGTATGTATTAATAGGGTGGGGAAATGAAAGAGGAAAAGAAGTGTGTGCAAAGTGCTCAGGAGGAAACAGATTTTTCTTTAGTACTTGTTAATAGTGTAATACTCAGCAGTGTCACTTAGGATTACACCATATTCTGTACTTATCTACTTCCAGGTATCAGTATACCATCTGTTTCCTTCACAAGTACACCAATAGATTAAATTCAGCCCAATTCTGTCAAATAATCTAACCCAGTGGTCGCCAACCAGTGGATCTTGATCTACCAGTAGATCTTGGAACCTCTTGGAGTTGATCCAAGACTGAGGTGGGCAGCTGAGTGCTTACATGCATGCCCCAGCCCCGCAGGTCAGTCTGTGGGGGCGGGAAAGGATGAGGGCTAGATCGAGGCCCCGACAGTGAGGGACCTGCTGGGGAGGCATGCCTCCAAATAATTCTTTCTCACTCTGCCTCAGTCTGGCCCCCCACCCTTCCCTCTCCATAGACTTACCTGCTGGGCAGGGGGTGGGAGGTAGGGGGTGGCAACAGTGCACAGTAGGTCTTAGGTTGCTTTTAAATGTGAAAGGTGATCTCCTACTTAAGAAGATTGGAGACCACTAATCTAACCTAACTTTAAAAATAATCATTTTAACAGGTCAGCTATAGCAGTATACGGTCATTTGATCCTGCAGTTCCAGTGGCAGGACCTCCACAGACTGTTTCAAAGCTGTGGAACAGTACCCACCATGTATTTTCACATCTGCATCCTGGTACCACCTACCAGTTCTTTATACGTGCCAGCACAGTCAAAGGGTTTGGGCCGGCAACCACAATCAACGTAACAACCAACATCTCAGGTAATTATATTAAAAAAAAATAAAGGAGGGGTCACTTGTTTGGTACAATAAGTTTTGTAAGGCTTACAAAAGGATTTGGATACTGTCATTGCTTTAGTTTAACTATAATGACAGAACTGCCACAGGCTTTGTGATTTTTTTTTTCTCCATGTGCATGTGAATGGAGCAGAACGGTTTAAGGGTTGGGTGAGCAGAGTATCAAATAGCAATGCAGGGCATCCTGTTATAAGTAAAACATTCCACCCTCTGAATGACAAATATTTCCATATATCATTATGGCACTAAATAAGGAAAGTAACTCTGAAAAAAGTTAAACTGTCAAGAATGTTGGTGTTTGGGATATATTCTCTGGTACAAGTCTAGGGATCAGCACATTCATCGGGAGAATTGTGCACCTATAATTTTCAGAAATGTATTGTGTTCGATGTTGTGCTTTTTATCTAAGTATTTCAAAGTGCTTTACAAGCCTTAACTAATTAAGTCTCACAACTCTCCACAAGTCAATAAGTATTGCATTTGTTTTGCAGATTAATAAAGTGAAGTTCAAAGAAATTAAGACTCACCCAAGGTGGCACAATTTAACAGCAGAACAGAGCAGCAGAATAGTTTGCTGAATTTAGCTGCATCTAATTCATGTGTAACAGCTTCTTTGTTCTTTTAGAAATGTGTACAAAGAATTGATGTTGTCTTTAAAATCTCATTTCATGTATATTGTAGAATTAAAGAATAGAAAAATAAGCAATTAATAAAATCCACCAGTTTTCCATATTAGTGATAATAGTGTTATTAGTATTTTTCCTGAAATAATAAGCTGTAGTTTGGTTAACTAGCAACAGTAGTAAAATTAATCTCTTGTTTAGAGACACTCATTTGATTTTATGGCATGATAATTTACGAACCTGGCAGACAGTCAAAGATAAGGCCGTATGAAAAGTTGAAACAGACCAAAACAGGTTATTTCCCTTATTTTCTGGCATAGTGATATACAGAAAAAATTATAATGCAGAGGATTGAATGTTTTACAATAGGTTGCCCTGTATTGCTCCCTGATGTCCTGGTCACCCAGTCCTTTCAGTACCTGCTTTTAAACATGTGCAAATACATGAAAGTGGAGAAAAAAACAGAGTTCTTTCAAATCAGAAAGCATGTTGTGGTTGTCACTGTAGTTAACTAGAACCGTGGCTCAAAATCTGTTTGGCATTCCACACCCTAAATATTTCTTTAAAAATGTGCTTTTATTTACCCTGGGAGATGTGTTTTGTGTCTAATATTTTACTCAGATTCCTGCCAGAGCCATCTTTGTTTCTTCAAACCTAATTCCAGAACATAACCCTTCCAGGAGAAGTGGGTTATGAAAGGCTTGCATATTTTCTTGTGGTTTATCATTTGAGCTTCATTTTTGTACTTCTAGGAGGAAAAACTACATCTCATTAATAAGATGACATTAGAATCTTGTTAATAAATGTATGTGCCAGTAGCCAACTTTCATGTTATTCTGCAAAATCATCTCAGCACATGGACCTGTATTAATCAATAGGCCCAGACTGCTCATGCCTGAGAGGGTATTTGGGAAGAGTCATGCTGATGAACATAAAAGCAAGCAGCAGCAAGTGTAAATGAAGTAGATATTAATCCTGGCCAGATACAGATTAGTATAGTGACATTCTGTCTCTCTCTCTCTTTCTCTGGGTTTGCTTTTATTTCTCTCTTCTTCTTTCCAGCGTGTTTTAAACTGTTGTGTAGTGTTGCCAAGCAACAATAATTGGTAAATGCGTTTTACTACAGTGCTGGCTGTTTGAATAGTAGGTGAAATGATACCAAGTTTATAGAATACTTTTGTGATCCTCCAGATAAAAACCAGATCTAAATAGCTAGCATTTTATAGGAAACAGCATCTGTAGGAAAAAACTTTTATTTTGTCTCTGAGGCTAATGAGGTGCTGCTTATTTTGTTTCAGTGTAAGCATTTGATATGTTATTTCCAAATATTTTAACTTAAGTGATTGACATTCTACCAGGAAGGTTCATTAATATGACTGAACAACACTAGTACCATAAACAGTTGTATATAGGCACATCTCTATGTTAAAAAGAGGAGCAAATATTTCTTACATCTCCTGAAAACTAAGATTTAATAGAAATCTGATTTACTAAATAATGATTTAACTGTTTTAAAGATTAGAAACTTCAGAGTTAACCCTACTTCATTTTATTTTATGATCTTTTGTCTTGATTCTGTGGTGCTAGGGGGGAGCTCTCCAAAGGATGCAATCAGTGCATTACTTCAATCAATCTTTGAAAGCCTAATATGCAAATAAATGCAGAGAACCTGTAGATATAAGCTATGTTCATTTCATGAAGCAGGGCTACTACAGTATGCTTTTACTTAGGATGGCCAGGGCTTGTGGATTGCCATCCCAGCAGAAGGGGTGGG